CCCCCCCCCCCCCCCCCCCCCCCCCCGGCTGCCTTTGAACTCACAATCTTCCTGTCTCAGCCTCCTGGGCTGCTGGATAACAGGCCTGTGCAACCGGCTATTATTGTGCTTTTAATTTGCATTTCCTCAATAAGTAATGTTAAGCTACAAAATACACTTTGCAAAGACTACACAACATACCAGAATATTGACAGTGGTGATATCTGCAGAGGTGTGATGATGATTTTGGTTTTATTGGGTTTTTTTGCTACAAGGTCTGTTTGCTAAAATTTCCAAATCCTAAAAATTTAAGTATTTAATTAAAAAACTGTTAGAATGCTTCGGATTGACCCTAGGGCTTCACCCCTGCTAAGCATACATTCTACCACTGAGCTATGCCCCCCAGCCCTTAAAAAATTATTTAATCATGAAAACCATCCCAGAGCCCTCCACCTGTGTGTTCTTATAAATGACAAGATGTAATGACAACAGCAATATTACAAGTAAAGTCATTCATTAATGTTTATTGAGCACCTGCTGTATATCCAGCACCGAGGGAGGGGCTATGAAGGACACAGAGTGGTACAGGGCAGGATCCCTGTCCTTGGGAGGGTTACAGTCTAGGTAGAGACAGGGAACCAGAACAGTTGGGGGCCGGGGAGAAACAGTCCAGGCCAGGATGTAACAGGAACTGGAGGGTGTTCGGGGTCAGACCCACTAAGTGCTTCAGCGCCTCCAGGGGCTCCATGCTCAGTGCTGGGAAAGACGACCACCCCCAACTCCATCTCCTATTAGTCTACTTAGTGCACCTTTCCTCAGCCTCTACGCCCGCCATCTTGGCCATCTCCTTGTTCAGCTGCTCCTCGAAGTGCAATGAAAGTTGGAAGGATGGAGCAGGCAAGGAAGGTCACTGGATGAGTTCCAGGGGCTGGGGTCTGTCCCCCCACCACACACCCTAATATGGAGTGGCCCCCACTCACGGAGGCCTGCCTGACCACCCAGGACCCCCATCCCCAGAGCTACATAAGAAGGTGGTTGTTGCTTGAGCTGCCCGAGGTAGGACTTGGGAGTCCACTTCCTGTGTGTCCTTTTTCCTTCCAGTCCATGAAGTTGGGGGGGAGGGGGCAGGTACCCAGAGCCAAAGGACACGGGGGAGGGGAGAGCAGCAGAGGGGCCTTGAGAGTCAGTCGAGGCCCCCCAAAAAGTAGAGGGGGAGCCACCAGGAGAGAAGCCCAAACACTGAGGCGTGCTCCCAGGGGACGGCCAAGGGGGCCATCAGTGGAGGTGGGGAGCTGCTACAGGGCCCACCTTCCCCTACCACAGGACAGAGGTGGGTATCAAGGGCCAGGAGGGACGAAGTGCCCAGCCCTAGTTTAGGCTGTGCCCACTTCACAGTCACCCTGCCCAATCTTAAAGGAGGTGAAGGGACTCCAAAGATTTTTTTTTTATGATGACCCCACTTGGCTGGGCCCCCTTCAAAGTGCTATCTATTTACTTCTCAAATGGTAAGGAATTCAGGTTGAGAACCCAAGAAAGGGGTGGAATCACAGAATACTCATGAGACATGAGCAGAGGGAGGGAACAGGTCCCTCAAGGCGGAGGAAGAGGTGGCCGGCATGGAGCCAGACGCCCCCTGACCTCCACGAGAGGACACAAAGAGTATAGGATGACAGGTTTTAAATAATATTTCATATAATAAAAGTATGCCCAGCACTCTGAGGAGCCTATCATTCTACTGCCTAATTTTTCTTTAAATAAATTCTACTGCCAGAGGCTGGGGGGAGAGAGGGCAGGCTGGGTATGTACATGAGGAGGAGTTTAAATTAAAACACAAATAATAATTAAGACACACAAACTGAAGGACTAAGGCAGAAGATAGGGAGAGGCCTGGGGGCCCCCCCCGCTGTGTCCAGGAGTGCGAAGGCTCCAGGGGTGGATCAGGGCCTCCTCTTGGAGAAGATCAGCCGGCGCTTGGAGTGGTAGAAATCTGTGGGGAGAGAACAGACATCAACCAGGCTGGGAGGAAGAGGGCCCTGAGCTACCTGTGAGGACAGACTGAGGAAGGAATGGGGCGCCCCTCCCGAGGCCAAAGGGACACACTGCTAAGTATGGGGAAGAACTTGGAGAACTTCCACTGTTTCCCAGGGGGTAATCATGGTACCCCATGGGCTTTCCAGATGCGACAGCAAGGACACCAGCACCCATCTATCTGCTCTCAGGCATGTTGCCCAGCACAGAGCCACTACCCCTGTGGTTCCGTGAATTGACGAAAATCCAAATCAAATGAAAAACTCAGCCCCTCAGTCACACCAGCCACATGTCAAGGGCTTAATGGCCACACGTGGCCACTATGAGGGCTACTGCACTGGGCTATTCTGTCATTGCAGAGAGTCTACTAAATAGCACTGATCTGGGGATTCCATAAGATCATCTGAGAGAAGTGCTTTGCACAGTGCCTGGCCCACATGAATGTCGTTGTTATTATTGGCATCATCATTATTTGGTACTGACCAATTGCAAATACGCCATGGGATTTCTGCCTTTATCTCTCAGCCTCGGTTTCCTTACCTGTAAAATAAGTATAACACGGCATGGTGCCCTAAGGATAGAATGAAGGCTTTGGTCTAGGACCCTGTGTAACAAGGGTTTAAATGTCAGCATCACCCATTCATTATCTGCCAAGCACCTTCTATGTGCCACTGTGCTAGGTGCTGGGGATTTGGCAATGAACCAGAGAGAGGCAGGTCTCTGCTGATATCTAGTGAGGCCAATATCTTAGCGAGGCACCGTGAGGAAGGAGCTGTTGATAGATAGCCAGGCAGGCAGGAAAGGGTGAGGGAACTGTATTGGAAAAGGGAGTACAGTTTGCATAGAGTGGACTAAAAACTAGCATTCTTCTCTCCACTGCAAATTCACTGTGGGACCTTAGACAAATCACTGTACTGCTCTGAGCCTTGTTTCCTTGCTCCAAAAAGGAGGAACAGGATTGGAGATACAGCTCAGTGGAAGAGTGTTTGCCTAGTACGCACGAGGCCTTGGGTTTGATCCCCAGTTCTGAAAAGAAAGAAGCAAGAATGTTCTTTTATTGGTGGGGGGGGCACTGGGGATTGAACCTTGGGATGCTCTACCACTGAGCTACATCCCCAGCCCTTTTTATTTATTATTTTGAGACAGGGTCTTGCTAAGTTGCTGATGCTAGCCTCAAACTTGCAGTGGTCCTGCCTCAGCCTCCCCAGTCACTAGGATAACAGGGGCATACCACTGTGCCTGGCGAAGAATGTCTTATACAGGATTGCTAGAAGGACTAACTGAAATCCACCTTAGAAGCTCTTGCCTGGAAGGTAATTATTTCCTAATAAATGCCACCTAGTTGGTCTTGGCTACAAAGTTGCTGTGTGACCTCAAGTAGTAGCTTCCTCTCTGTGGGCCCATTTCCCTCCATCTAAGGTACAAGCTGGACCAGTCACCTCAGCCTCTTTGGATCTGAGAATCCTTCCCCATTTCTGTCCTCACCTGTCATGCTGGTCTGTCGCCGTTTTCGGCCCCCAGAGGTTCCAGGCCCAGCAGGGGACCCCTCAGGTCGCTCAGGGGAGCGAGGCACGAGGGTGCAGGACAGCGACAGGTCCACGTGGTCCTCTTGAGATGACCCCTGCAGCAGGGCGGCTGAAGTGCTGGGCCGCCTGCCCGGGTCATCCGGGCCACCCCGGGGCCCCGGGGTCAGGTAGAGCTTGGGCAGGCCCAGGCCCTTCACGGGCTCCCAGGCGAAGTTGCCTTCCAGGGGCGTTTCGGTGGCAAAGTCGAAGTTCCACCGCTCCCGGGCCTCCTGCAGGCAGCCAGCCATGAGGGCGTCGCAATCACGGCGCAGCTGCTCGCTGTCCACTGGGCCGAAGAGGCGACGACAGGCCTTGCTGCCGTGAGGGACTGGACGAGCATCCCCGGATGGCTCTGTCATGGTGCCTGTGGCTGAGACACAAGGAAGGACCAGTCACTAGGGTAGCTGGGCCCTCCCTTACCAACCAGGTGCTGCTGGGCAACCTCAGGTAGGGGTCACTCTGGTCCCTTCCAGCCACCACTCCTCCCCACCGGACACCACCCCAAGCCCACCAACAGACACTGGGGGCTGGCAGAGCTCAGCAGCCCAGCATCCCAACGTCAAGGATGGGAGGAGCTGGCGTTGAAGGGCAAGCTGAGTCCACAGGGATCAGGGTCCTGTTTACCACCAGGAATTATCAGCTAAAATAAATCTGTCTTCCCCCTTGAGCTGTCCCATTGGTGTGAATGCCCCCAATCCGTGTGAATTGCCAGAGTCTGGTTTCCCAACCGCAGCCCTGGACAGGAGGTTGATTCCCAAATGGTCAGGTGGCAGCTCCTCCAGCTTCCTGATTCCCCCACCCAGATGCCCAAATGGGGTAACCTTGCCCCACAAATGAAAAGTGCCCTGGGCTGTAGCCCTAATAGCTCTGCTGCTTACTACCTAGACCTTAAAAAGTCACTTAATGACTCTGGGCCTCAGTTTTCTCAGGTATACATGGGGCTACATGACAGTTTAAGGAGTGTGGCTGTGGAAGCATGCTCAGGCATTTGGCCAGGGAAGCATCTGGAAGAGAGCTGAGAGGCTGTGACTTGGTGGATCTGTGTGAGGGATCTGGAGCCAGACTGCCTAGATTGCGATCCAGCCTCTGCTGGTTTGACCCTGGACAAGTGACTTAACGTCTCTGGGCTCATCTGGTAAAATGGAGGCAGTGATGATGACTGTCTCTGTAGGCAGATGTGAGGATTAACTGAATTATGGTAAGTCACGTGCTGGGAGCAGCACCTGGTGTGTGGAAGATCTTGAAAAATGAAAGTGTTATTATTTCTCTCTGCCTGCAGTTGGGGCTGAGCCTCCTCCCCATCACTCCCCCTGGCCATCAGCTCCTTCAGGCAGCAGCTGACAGGTGCTCTAGGCTGAGGGCCTTTCCCAAGAATGTCATCAGGGGAAAGGAGGGGTGGGTGGGGCAGGGCAGGGTGATGATTTCTCCCAGGCTGAGACACATCCTGCCAGGCTCATCAGGTGATCAGAAGTCTAGACACCTCAGGGACCCTGCCCTCCTGCGTTGCCTGCATCCAAAGAACCTGTTTGGCAGGCACAGAAAATTAAAGGTGGCCGGTCCACCCAGCTCCTCTCCTCCCACTTCAGGAGTGGGAAAACCCATGAGGAGCCCTGGTGTCTACCTGTCCTGCTGTGGCCTGATTCCAAAGCTGAGAAGCCCTACGACCTTGGAAGGGACTGGGTTGTTTCCTAGGGACAAGTCCTGATTTGCAGGCTTGGGGTGAAAGCCCTGCTGAGCAGCCCCCTGAGGCAGGAATCCCTGGACCCAGCCCACACCTACCCCACCCCACCTCTTTGCCTCTCATGATGAGTGCAGCCCATAATTCCACCTCTCAGCTGGTTGGAGAGGGGAGGCACTCAGTGACCTCAGAACACTTTTTTTTTTTTAGAGAGAGAGAGAAAATTTTTTAATATTTATTTTTCAGTTTTCGGTGGACACAACATCTTTGTTTGTATGTGGTGCTGAGGATCGAACCCGGGCGGCTCGCATGCCAGACGAGCGCGCTACCACCTGAGCCACATCCCCAGCCCCTCAGAACACATTTAAAGGGGCAGGAGCTTGAAGAGATATGAAACTTTCCCTTAAATCACACATCTAATAAAGACCCACGTCCACCACCCTATTAAGGGGTCACACACTACATTGGACAGGGCACTTGTATAACCTCTGCCCACCATGTTCAGGGCAGGGGGTAGGATTTAAATATATTTTTATGTGCTGGGGCTGTCCTAAGCAGTTTACAGATATCAACCCTCTTTGAAAGTGGGTTTGTTAGCTTCTCTTTACAGAAGAAGTAACCAAGCCTCAAAGAAGTAACTTGTCTGAGGTCACACAACTCACAGGTGGCACAGCCAGGGTTTGAATCCAGACCCATTTGCCCTGGGTTCTAGGTTCTGTGCTCTAGTGCAGAACCTGGTGTGGGCAGCACTCTGTTTTTCTCTCCACTATTTTGATTCTTTTAAAGAGATGTCTATTAGAATCATTTAAAAAAATATACAGATTGATGCACCCCTGCTTCCCCAAACCAACTGGTTCCAAATTGAAGGGGATTTATGCACTTAAGACACTTGCCCCAGATGGGCACTCTCTGGGCGCCAGCCCGGGTGGGGGTGGGGACCCACGGATGGGTCTCAGTGCTGCATAGGCACAAGGAGGAGCTAGATATTCCCTGGGTCCTAGGAGCTGAGGGTGGGGCCAGACTCCAGGCAGGGACCCTCTCCCCTTCCACCACCCTTCCTGGATTGTTCTCATAAACCCCTCCTTCCCAAGTTTGCTCTCATGCCCATTATCACGACTCCCATCTCAAAACAACCTCAAATACAAGCCCTCGTTTTACAAACAACTGAGAATGGCTTCCTATAGATGTCAGCCAGTAAATACTGGCTCCCCCGTGATGTCCCCAGTAACTACTGCTGAGTCAGTGGGTGCTCTTTTTAAGGGGCCGTTGGGAGCGATTTCCCGTGAGCGCGCAGGAGAGGCATCGCCCCTGGCCGGCGGATTGCTACTCGCACCGGGGCCGGGAGGGGGCGCCGGTCTCCAGGCAATGCAGCGCTGGTGGACGGTGCGTGGGCCAAGCCGTGGACAGCGCCCGCAAGTAGTGATGAGTCAGTTTCCTGCCAGGCGCTCCCCGCCCGCCAAAACTTCTCTTCCCCTCCCGCCGCGCGCGTCACTCCGGGGTGGGAAGGGGAGGGGAGGAGGGGCCCAGAGCCGCGAACACGTCACGCTGAGCCGTCCGGCTTCCGAAACTCCCGCCGCTGTTGGGAAACGGCGCGCTCTGGCTCGGCACGCACACACACGCGCGCGCACACACACACACACACACACACACAAACACACACACTCGCGCACGCACAGGCGCGGCGAAATCTGGCCCCTCCACCTTTATCTCCACGCCCAAAACTCCCGATGAGTCAGATCCCTGGAAAATAAAAATAGAGCAACGAAAACAAAAACCGCTCGAAAGTCCTCCCAGAAACGCGACGTAAAGGAACGGAAAGAGAAAGGAGGCCTCCTGAGTGTCCCAAAATGCCAAACCCAGCCCTAACATCTGGGAACACCAGGAGAGCGCAAAGTTCCCTTACAGGTTTCAGACGGGGCGGACGCGCCCAAGGAGCGACTCGCCCTCTTACTCCACTCAGCCTGGCCACCTGCCGACTGGGTTGGGGGCTAGGTCCGGGTGCCCCGAGCCCCTCAGGCAGCTGACAGATGCCCTAAGCACCGTCGGGTCCTCCCGCAGCCCCATCCCGCAAAGATGCGAGCCTCTCTGTGCTTCCCTCCCTAGAGTGGGCTAGTGTCGCTCCGCAGTGCCGGTTCCACTCGCGCACCAGAGCCCAGAGTCCATACGCAAGGACAGCGGGAGCCAGGCTTCTCCCGCAGCTGTGGGAGAGGTGGGCAGGACCCCTAGGCTTGCCCGCCTGGCAGGCTGGCGAGATCCCAACTAGCTTCGGTCGCGTTTCCCGGTCCCCGAGGGCGCGCCACTGAGCGGGAGGACCGGACGCCCAGCCCCAGACCTCCTAGTGTCCCGGCTTCCCTGGGAACACTTTGTGCCAGCCAAATAGGTCACTGTGCTGATAGGGGACGGGGACTTCGGTGAGGCAGGGAAGAGCGATTCAGGGGTGCCAGTGTTCCCCAGTCTGGGTGGGGTTCTCATCTCACAGTCCAGTCCCCAGGGTCTCCTTGTCACCGTGAGTCACCTCCTCTCTTGTCCTTAGGAAACATGTCCTAACACGTTCCCGAGGGCCAGGGACACAGCCCGTGCTGACCTCAGCTCCCAGCGGGGCGGCAGACACCAGGGCGTAGAAGACCTGAATCTCAGGGACCTGGACCCAGACGGTCCAGGTCCTATTGGATCGGAGAACCGTCGCGGCTCGGACTCCAGATGAACTTGTTCTACGAGAGTCCCCCTCCCCTTCTCGGCCCCCGCGGGGGACCTGGGCTTCATTTTCGCGCCTCGAGCAGCTGCTCCTGGGGGTCCGGACCCACCCACCTCCAGAAGCAAGATCCTGGGGGCGGCCCTAACCACTTCATCCGTCGCCCCAGCTGGGCTTCAGGGGGCGGGGAGCGTGGCGGGCGATCTTGTCACCAGAGCTCCTGCTGTCCTCGCCGAGTCTCAGATACAGCCTCCCTTGTCACCCGCAAGTGTACCGACGCGCGCGTGTCAAACCCGGCACGCCCAGACCCACGCCAGCCATTCACCTGCCACAGAAACACCTGTGGACTCGGCGCGCGCCCGCGAACAAATGTCCCCGCAGACGCTCGCGGACACGCTGGGCTCAGTTCCCAGCCGACGGCTGGGGGCCGCTGTTCCGCGTCGAGGCTCCCTCACCTCCTCTGGGTGTCTGTGCCTTGTGAATCTGCTCCGCTGCGCCCGATCCCGGCTCTCCAAAGAACTGGCTCCGCAGCTGCTTACACCTCAGCTGGTGCCGCTCGGCGCTGCCCTTTTATAATTAAGCCCGCCCCTGCCCGCCTCCCAGCCGTCGGGAGGCGGGACGCGCCGCTCGGCCCATCGCGCCGCAGAGACACGCCTTCCCGGCTCGAGCAGCGGAACCTGGCACCGCTCCAGCAGGCCAGCGGGTCCGGGAAACTCGCGGGCTGCCGAAGGGCGCTCCCCTCCTCCCCTTAGCCGTCGCCTGGGTCTGTGTGCTTGATACATTTCCCCCACGAAGGGGTTTTTAAAGTTGGCGAATGAGTTGGCACTCCCTCGGGAAGGGACGCATTGTTAGGGTGAGTCCCCTTTCGTGCCTGCCCACCACTGACACACTCTGGGTAAGATGTATTTCACACGGTAGAGAAAATCAGGAGGAATGATGTTAATAGATACAAATCCATAAATAATAAAAATAATGTATCTTTCTTTACAATTCCCGGGAAAAAAAGGCTACTGTACACCATTGTACTTACCCGGACCTCACTAGACACCTCTCCCAGAAGCACCTGAGATGCCCTGAAATCCCAACAAAGCATATCTGAGTCCAGAATAGAATTCAATCCTCATTGTTTCACAGATGAGGAAAGAGAGGCCCAGAGAACTAGAGTATGCAAAGTCATTGCTCGTCAGGGGATTCCAAAGCTTTTCAGAAGGGGCCAACAGCCTGGTGTGCTGGCACAGTTGTGTAACCCTTGCTACTCTAGACACTGAGGCAGGATTGCAAGTTCAAGGCCAGTCCTGGTAACCTAGCAAGACTCTGTCTCAAAATAAAAAGGGACAGGAGATGTAGTAGATCCGTGGTAGAGCAGCCTTGGGCTCAATCCCCAGCCCTGGGTTCAATCCCCAGTATCTAATAAAAAGGGGGAAGGGACAATCTGGTCTCCAGGGACATGGAGAAAGCAGACATTGAACCAGTCTCAGAGCCCCTGACTTCACCTCCCTCTTACCTCTCCAGTAAAACCAGTGTGAATGCAGTAGCTATGCTGGCTAGGAAAGAGACAGATCCGGGCTGTGAGTTATCTCCTGGGTACTCCTCCTCCGCACAGCCCACATAAACTTCTGGGGAAACTGAGGCTCAGATTAGTCCAATGACCTGACTCAGATCACACAGCAAATAAACCACTAAGGTCAGCCCTTTACTTCCTATCTGAGCTCTCTGCTTGTGGCCCTCTACTTCTTCAGGTCCAGAATGAGGGAAATACCCAGCACCCCTCAATTCCAGGCAGTTTACTGAGATGACATTGATAAAGGATATTTCTGGAAGGGTCCACTGATGCTTCTGACCGATGCAGAAGCGAGGTGTCCATGTGCTCCCACCCACCTCCACACCCCTAAGCACCCTTGTTCCTGACCTTGGCCTTCCCTCCTTTACCTCAAACATTCCCAGTTTTGTTTTTCAAAAATAACCAGAATGGAGTGTGAACAGAAATCTCACTAAAAAACTGAATTTGGATTTGCATCAGCTACAATTACTGATGTCTCGGGCTGTTTGGTGTCTGGAAATCTCTGCCCGGACATGCCCAGTCTTCTTCCTCTAATGCAGCTGACCTCAGAGAGGACAGGCCCCCTTCTTCTCAACTGTGGGGATGGAGTCCCAGCAGGGGTGGGAGCACTCAGGACCCGACTCTCCGACTCTCCGTCCTGCCTGGCCCTGCAGTCAGGCCAGGACCACTCCCACCTCTGGCTGCTGTCTCCCACCTCCTCTCCACACCTAGGTCATCCAAAGGCTAGGTTGTCAGATGTACAGCAGAGGACAGACATGTCCTCCTACTGACTTGAATCCCCTTGGCTTTCAAGCATTTCAGAGAGACCTGACATTATCTATGTGTCTACTTTAGGGGGAAATTTTTAAATGAAGGATGGTCGGGAATTATTGAAAGTTTTGTGGTCCTGAGCCTCACAGTGAAATAATTATTTTTTGTTGGTGATGTTGGGAAGTGAAAAAAAATTCATAACTTCTGGCTCACCACAACCACAATAGTATCAACAAATACTTATTAAGCACTTACTAATTGTCTCTCTTCAGTAGCTTTCAACAACTGTTTGTGACCATGCACTTGTACGTGTACCCAGGCAGTCTTCAAAGGAGGACTTCAGCCCTGAAGAGGGCAAGGGAGCAAAAGTCACACACAAGACAGAAGCAGACAGACCGACAGACACACACACACACACACACACACACACACACACCACACAGACAAGCCCACACATGTGCACCAGACCCCAGCCTATCCCAAGGAATCTGCAAATCACATTCTGTTCAGAGAGACTCAGGCAAAGTCTCCAGGGGTCTCTAGTGTCCCACCATGCCCCTCCTCACCTCCCGGCAGGCATTTCCAAGGATAAAGCAACCAGCAGCATTTTCCACAGCAAGGTTTGACATGTTAGGACATGTTCCTGAGGGCCAGAGGGCCAGTCTAGACCGTAGCCTGCTGTCCGGGCATGCCAGAAAGCAGGCAGCTCAGGGGGAGGGAGCAACTTGGAGGGAGCTCAGCTAGAGGACGGGAGGGCCCAGACCAGCTCCCACCCCAGACTGGGCCCTTGTGGGGTGGGTGAGGGAAAGACAGAAGACCAAGGCTGGAGAAGGAGGATTTGAGGAGAGCTCCATGGTGGCTGTAGGAGCTACCCAAGCCAGGGAGGAAGTGTGGGGATGACGACTCCATTTCTTAGAAAAGGACTGGAGAGTCCCAAACAGGGACAGTCAGCTTTCAGAGGAATTCACCTCCACGTAGAAGTGAGACCCCAGAGAAAAGGCGGAACAGAGAAGTTATATTACTGAGCAAAAGAAGTCCTGGGGGTTTTGTTTGTTTTGTTTTGTTTTGGTACTAGGGATTGAACCCAGAGACACTTTATCTGAGCTACATCCCTTTGTGTTTTTATTTGGAGACAGGGTCTCGGTTGCTTAGGGCCTTGTTAAGTTGCTGAAGCTGGCCTTGAATGTGCCATCCTCCTGCCTCAGCACCTCCACAGTCCGGTTGCTGGGATTATGGGCATGGAGGTATGGATCTCCGCACCTGGCCCTGCGCTTGGGACCCCGCACTCCACCCCCCACCTCCCCTCTCAAAGTCGCACTTATGCTCTGGTTTCCTTGACTAGGCTAGCCCCAATCACATGGCCCTGCCTAACCTGATGCGGGAGGGGGCTGGGAAATGACCGAGAGCCAAAGGATCAAGACCGATCATAATGTATCACAGAGAAATCTGTGAAAGAATTTGTGACACACAAAAACACTTCCAGCCTCCCAAACTTACCACCTGAGCCTAAAATCTCACCGTTTGAAATTCATTCCTTTGGCATAAATTCATTAAATAAGATCATATAGGCAAAGTACGTAGCCTGGTACAGAGGAATCATGCCTATAATCCCAGCAACTCAGGAAGTCGAGTGATGAGGATCAAAAGTTCAAGGTCAGCCTCAGCAACTTACCAAGGCCCTAAGCAACTTAGCAAGACTCTGTCTCAAAATAAAAAAATAAAAGGGGCTGAGGATGTGGCTCAGTGATAAAGCACTCCTTGGTTTAATCCCCAGGAACCCCCCAAAAAAGAACCACTCCATGAATATTATTATTACTGATTAGAAACACTCCCTGAAAAAGCATCCCTTGAAATTCAGTAGTCCCTTAAACATTAGTGGGTATCTTAGGACGGTTTCTCAGAGAACACATTGAAGTGGAGAGTCATTTGAAGGAGGTTTATTGGGGAGCGTGTTTGTAACCCACACCTGTCTGGGTATAAAGGAGACAGGATTGGGCAGAGGGAGGAGCTGAGGTCTTATGGGATCTAGAGGCCTCAGTCGATCCCACAAGGGGCCCTGGAGTTGGGATGGCCCTACAGAGTTCTCTAAAGGAAAGCAAGGGGCCAGGCCTTTACAGCCCTGCTCCAATTCATCATTTGGATGTCATTTCCCTGCAGCAAGCGGGTACATGCCCTCAGGCAAGACAGCACTCCTATCTGAAGCCAAGTCCTGAAGAAACCAAAGGCATCCTTAGCAGCAAGCTTGGCAGCCACTGGGGAGAAAAGTGCCTGGCCCACAGGGGTTGTAGGTGGCCCAGTGCAGTGTAAGCAGATCAGCTCATGTGCAGGGAGCAAAGGGTTCTCCACACCTCTGCACACACTGTTATTCCCACCTCCACTCTGAGCTCCTACTCACCCTGCCTGGCCTACCTTGCGTGACCTCCTGGGCTGAGTCTTCCACAAAGCTCCATCTGGATCCCAGAGCCTGGTGAGCAAGTCTGTCCACTGGGCCTTGTTGGCCTGCTTGGTTTCTGTGCCTACTGAGTCCTCTGAGCAGGGAACTTGAGGGGGGGGGTAGCCATATTTTATTCATCTTTGTACTTCAGGAGCCTGGCAGCCTTCACTGGGAGCTCTGTGAATATTTATGGAAGGGCCATTTTTAGCCTGCACTCTGGGGTGAGGCTTTAGTGCCCCTGCTTCTGTGACCTCTCTGTCATTTATCCATCCATTTACTCATTCATTCATTTAAAAACATACATAGTTAACCTTCCCTGCTCAAACCCAAAACTCAAACATTAACCATCATTGGCCCTTTCCTACGTGTTCTACCCCTACCTTGAATTTTACATGTAACTATTTAAAACAATCATTTTGTCACATGTGGTCAATTATTCCAGGTCCTCTCCTACATTTCCCAGTCCCCTCCTGCTACAGTTAGACAGAGCCATGCCAACTGGTTCTAGCCAATGAAACATGATACTAAGTGACATTTGTTCCTTTAGGGGTAAGGCCAGATGAAATTCTCCAATCTTCCAGTTATGGCAAAAGCAAGGTCTCATGTCCTAATGATGCCGCCACCACACGGCAAAGCCTCCATCATTGTGGGTCCCAGCAAGACTGTAGGGAGCAGAGTGTCCCTTAGCTTGCATGGGACA